GGGATGGATTCTAAGTCAAATAGGGACAATAGCGCTGTTCCGATAACTGTCCCAACTGAGGCTCCCGCCTAGAAGATCGTCGAGCGCCGTTGGTCTTCATTCATTGCTATCGACTTTCCCCTTCAGGCTAGTTTTCCAAGGTGCACGGTTCGTACATTCCCCCCCCCTTCAGGTCACAGATATTGCCGCTTCGTCGCGGAGATGCTGCGAAGCTGCAAGCGGCAGATGCTTAGGGCTAGCCCCGCCCCTCTGGCTGCTTGATCGCCCTCGCCAATGCCTCATTCAGCCTGTGTCAGACGATCCCGATCGTCCCGTGGTCAAGCGGGAGAGCCTCGTTCAAAGTCGATGCCTTAACCCCGCCGCTCCTGCCCAGACCCCGACCGTCCACAGGGCTGTTGAATATCGACGTTGCACCGTCGATAGGGTCGACAAATCTGAGCGAGATCCTGGAATTCGAGGCGGTGTCAACAGCCATTGGGAGGACAGTCAAAACAACTCCTGCAGACTCTTAGGTTTCGTCAGACACCCCTGCATCCTTCGTTGGATACCCTGCATCATGCTGCTCCTTCCTTCTCCTGTTTGGGGGGGGGGCTGTTGCAAGGGTATTTCACCTACAGGCCAGCCAATCATCACGGAGCCTTCTCTCAATTGCAATTTGCCTGGCCTGGCGTTCCTTCAGCAATTTGCTGGAAGTTTGGCCTGTGTCGCGCTTCTCCGTGCACGTGCAAGTTCCTCCGGGCAGGGTTGGCCCTGCGTTTACTCGAGATTCTGCCAGAGAGTCAGTCTAGGCTTCTTAGGCCAACCCTTTCTGAATCAACTCATCGACCACATACCGCCTTAATCGCAGCATACAGATCCATATCACATTCAATGATGCGGTCAGTTCGCAGGGAGAAGATGTCAAGAATCTGCGGGAAGCGCGAACAATATAGGTTTGACAACCGGCACAATGATACAACACGCCATCACATTGCAAAACGTGAAACAAACGCTGGAACAAACAGCACGCTACCGCGCAATGTGGAGCAAGCCATTGGACACAAGTTGCAACACATGGTGATGACCGAGGCACTCGCACGTAGATCCCACATACACGTTTTCCGAACCTGTTTGTTGGACTTGTTGTCTTGCTTCTTGTAGGCGAAAGTCGTGTGTGTGTGTGTGTGTGCTCGTGACCCTGTCTGTTCAGCGTCTTTGCTGTGCCACTGTCTCTGAGCGCCTCCCAGACAGACCAGACGGGACCCACCAGGCGACGAGGTGGGTTCGGATTCCTGCTGGAAACGTGCGGGACGCCGGGGCCCTCGTGACCGGGAGCTAGATCCACAAAACTATTCGTATGCGACCGATTTTTTGTTCGAATGGTGATGAATTCCTTCACTTAACTCGAGCTGAAGATGAGCTTCAGAGCTCATCCGTTCAGAAATGAGTAGAAAACTATGAGGCGCGATAGTACCTCGTAGAGCTCTTCGGCACGGGGGCGGCCGGTGGGGTCGGGCCCAGGCGGCCGCCTCGGGCGACCGCGAAGCTTTCTCTGTTGCCTCTCCGCGATTGCTGGCCTTGGGCGGGGGTCGGTGAAGGATGGGCCCCGGGCCTCCGACGAGGTTCCTCCTCCACATCCTCCTCCTCCTCCTCCACCTCCTCCTCCTCATCCTCCTCCTCCTTCTCCTCCTTCTCCTCCTCCTCCTCCTTCTCCTCCTCCTCCCTCCTCCCTCCTCCTTCCTGGCGCACGCGGGTCTCTGCCGCGGGCGAAGCTCTGTGCGGCGAGAGCTTCCCTAAGCAACTTCCATCCGCGGCCCCGCGACCTCGCGACCACGGCAGGAGCGCGCGTGCCCTGACCTTCCAGAGAGCTGTTTTTTAGCACTGGGGACCTAAAAACCTAAACAGCTGAGCGAAACAGGCTAAAACCAAGACGCATCCTGGCTTTGGGAGAGGTTTTTAAGTCGGGTGCTATTTTTTAGTCCTCCTGGAAGGTCAGTGTGTGGTCCCGGACGCTCTTTTGATGGCCCCGGCGCTCGGCGTCGGCCGAAGTATCAGAACCTCGTCCGGCCTGCTCGCCAAGGGCCCAGCCGCGCGCAGCTGCGAGCACAAGTGGGGGCGGGCGAGCAGCACTAGGACCAGGGCACGGGAAAGGACGGGCAGAGGCGAGCAAGGGCACGGCGGGATTTGAGGCGCGAGCTGGGGGCGCGAGCGGATGCTCTGAGAGCGCCTTTCTGTCCGGCGCCCGCAAGATGTAGCTACAGACGTCGCCCTTGTTTCCAGGGCGCAGGGACAGCTCGCGGAGGCACGGCGTAGGCGGAGTCCCTGCGACGCGCGCTGGTCTCCCCGAAAGAGCGCGTGCGACCTCTCGCATTTCGGCCTCAGTTGGGGCTCCCTATCGGGCCACGACAAGCGCGCGGGGTGCGCCGGAATGAAGACGCGAACATTGGCATTTGGGCTTAGTTGGAGCCCCCTATGGGGCCACGAGACGTGCAAGGGGTGTGCCGAAGCCGGAGGCAGGAACTCATGTGAACTCTGGCATTTGGGCCTTAGGTGTAGCTCCCCATCATACGCTTCGTGGCCCCAGAGGGGGCTACACCGAGGGCCCAAATGGCAGCGCCCGCATGTCACCGCCGAGCGCATTTCGGCACACCTCTCACATGCTTCGTGGTCCCATGCCATAGGGAGCTCCACCGAAGGCCCCAGTGGCAGCGCCCGCATGGCACCGCCGCGGCCATGTCGGCACACCACTCATACGCTGCGTGGCCCCATACGGAGCTCCATCAAGGGCCCCAGTCGCAGCGCCCGCATGGCAGCGCGGCACCCGTTTCGGCTCACCCCTCACTCGCTTCGTGGCCCCATAGCAGCTCCACTGGAGGCGTCAGTGGCAGCGCCCGGATGGCACTGCCGAGCCCGTTTCGGAACACCCCTCGCACGCTTCGTGGCTCCATAGGGAGCTCCACCGAGAGCCCGAATGGCAGCGGCCGCGCGGCCGCATGGCACCGCCGCACTCGTTTCGGCACACCATTCACACTTTCGGTGGCCCCATAAGGAGCTCCACCTAAGGCCCCACTGCCAGCGCCCGCATGGCACTTCCGCATCCGTTTCGGCACACCTCTCACACGTTTCGTGGCCCCTTAGGGCGCTCCGCCGAAGGCCCCAGTGGCAGCGCCCGCATGGCACAGTCGCACACTTTTCGGCACACCCCTCACACGTTCCGCTGCCCCATGGGGAGCTCCACCGAGTGCGCCAGTGGCAGCGCCCGGATGGCACCTCCGAGCCCACTTCGGCATATCTCTCACTCGTTTCGCGGCCCCACAGGGAGCTCCACCGAAGACCATACTCACAGCCGCGGTACCACACCTGCACACGACTGGGCCCTTCGCCCGGATATTTGTTCGGGGGCGCTCCTGGCGGCTTGCGTCGCCACGGCCCGGTGCGGCCTCGAACCGAAATGCCACGGTGATGCTGGGTGTCAGAGCGAGCTCCGAGGGATTGGCCTTCAGCGAAAATTGAGGGAAGGGGGACGAGGAAGGGGAGAAGGAGGAAGGGGAAGAGGACTGATGTGTCTGATCCACGTTGGGTCTCGGAGGGGGGGGGAGGGCGGGGCCCTTCCCCCCTCCCCCCTCCCCTTCCCTCATCTTCCCTCCTCCTCCCCCCTCTGCCCCAACCTCCTTCCTCCTCGTCCTCTCCCTTTCCCGTCCGCCTTCTCTACCTCCCCGTCTCTCCTGGTCCCTCCTTCATTTCCCTCCTTCGCCTGATCTTCTCTCCTGTCTTCCCTGTTCTCTCCGCCTCCTCCTCGTCCTCTTCGTCCTCCTCCTGGGCCTCCTCCTCCTCCTCCTCCTCCTCCTCCTCCTTTCTCTCTACGCTCGTCTCCTCATTCTTCTCCTCCTTCTCCTCCTCCTCCTCGATCCCCATCCTCATAGCAACTAGTCCTCTTCGCACCACCAGGCGTGCGGGTAGTGCTGGCCGGGTGGTTCGCGCGAGACCGCCGCAGAGTTTATGATCTTGAAGCTTGGCATGCCAAGCAGCTACAGATTTGCTTGGCGGGCTGTTTTCACCATGCGGCTTTAACCACAGCGCCGTGCATGTTCAACATTCCTCGCACCCCAAAGCTACAAGGATCGTCGGCTGGTTGTTCTCAAGATGTGGCCCTCGCTGTAGCGCGGCAAACATTCGTCTTCAAAGTTTCCAACAGCTCCCAGGGTGCAGGGAGGCTTTTTCTGAATATGGACCTCTCGCTTGTGACCGTCGCAACCTATGACCAGAAGTTTGAGAAGGTAGCCAAGTTCACGGGTGGCGGGCGGATTTGTTTCAACACGCTGGGCGCTTCCGTAATCACCACGTCTGACCCTCCCCTCCCCTCTGGGTTGTGGCGCTTTCCACCCCCCTTCGCCACGGAGCGCGCCTCGGCGCGATGTGGGTGTTCGGTTTCGTCTCGTGGTCCTGCACATGGTTCATTTCTGAGAACTCGAGAGTTCTTTGATTTTTTGGGGGGGCCCAGATCCTTTCATTTCTAATTGCTCTATCCTGAGCCTCTTCCTGGCCACTGGGGGGCCAGGAACAGTTAGAGACGAGCACGATCAGAAACGAGCACCATTAGACATGAACGACGTGTACCCCCCCATTGCACCCCTTACCGCCGGAGGAGGATGCAGGGCAGACCTTTCTCAGAGCGGGGACCTCGCCCCGGATGGCTGGCCCCATGGGGCGCTCGCTCTCCAAGGGGGGCGCCCTCCGCAGCGAGAGCAGGAGTGCGTACGCGGGGCTTCCGACGGGGTGGACCATCAGTATGGTTTATTAACCGACCCCCATCCCCATCCCCATCCCCCTCGAGACCCCCACCAAATTACCCCCAGCGGGGGACACGCCCCTCGAAGCCCGAAGGGAACGACCGATACCCCCAGCTAGGGGGGCCAGATCGGCCAGTGGGGCCCAGGCCACGCCGCTGGGGATGGGGATCGGTTAAACGATACTCCGACCAGGGACGGGAGGGTGCAGTGCAGCACAGTTGGTACGTCCTGGGTTTCACAGCAGAAAGCCATCGCGCGGGCGTGAATGCGATGCAGAAGCATCCGCGCAACGAGAGAAGTTCTATCCCGCTGCTTGATTCGCCCAGCGGTGCGCGTGCCAGCACCACGCCATGGCTGAGGCTCGATCCCATCTATTCCTGGGTTTACTCTGGTCCTCTGTGCCTCCTCCTCCTCCTCCTCCTCCTCCTCCTCCTCCTCCTCAATCTTTTCCCGGTCCTCCTCCCTCCCAGTCCCGGCAATCCGGTCGCACTCGATTTCTGGACCTCTCCCGGGGGTCCATCCTGGTAAAATGGTCCTCTGGATCGCGGCGGCGCAGGACGAGAACGGCTCCCCGAGGCAGGAGTTGCTGGCAGATCTCCCACCGTCTCCTTCGCCCCTGCTCCCACCCTCCGTTCTCTCGAACCTCAACGTTCCCTTCGGTTGCAAGTGAGACGGGAGGTTTGCCTTGGCATCGGCGCTGGCGTATCCTCGGTCGAACACCGCGACATTCTGGCCTGGTACCGCTTAGTTCGGAAGCCCAGCTAAATCCTAAGGTTGATTTTGCCGAAGCTAGTCCCATGCCCCCCCCAATCATATTATAGATCGTAGTCGTTCCCATGGAGGCCTCCCATGAGTTGTCTCCTGCCTCCCCCCCGTCGTCTTTTCCCCCTCCTCATCTCCCTTTTCCTCCCCCTGTCCTCTCGAACCTCAATCCTCCCCCCGCCGTCCTCTTCTCCTCCTCCCCCGTCCTCTCGAACCTCCCCTCCCCCTCTCCCTGCTCCTCCCCCCGTCCTCCTCGAATCTCGACCCCCCCCCCCCGTCCTCCCCGCCTTCCTCCTGGCTCCCCCCCGACCCTCCGCCACCGCGCGGCGGCCTCGCGGGCCAGGCAGGTGTCGAGGGTGAGGCAAGATGTCGGTGCGAAGCACGGTCTGACGCCCCACCAGAGCACACCTTAGTCCTCACCAGCTCCCCGCCCTCCTCCTGGCTCCCCCCCGACCCTCCGCCACCGCGCGGCGGACTCGCGGGCCAGGCAGGTGTGGAGGGTGAGGCAAGAAGTCGGTGCGAAGCACGGTCTGACGCCCCACCAGAGCACACCTTAGTCCTCACCAGAAACGGCGGCGAGAAAACGATCGCGATGTGGGCGGAGGACCACGAACTCGTATGCGAGAATGCGCTTGGGCCTCGCGGGCCAGGCCTTTGGGCCGCGACCCCGTGGATGCGGGAGGTTGCTTCCTCGCGGATGCCCCGCGCGGAGCGTGCCCGCTCCGCCCGCGTGTCCGCGGGGTCGCTCTTCCCAGAGCCCAGACCGCGAGGGCGTGGCTGCGGCTGCGTCCGCCGCTCGTGACCCGCCCCCTCCGCCTCCGCGCGGCGGCGACGACGACGACGACGACGACGACGACGACGACGACGACGACGACGACGACGACGACGACGACGGCGACGACGACGACGACGACGGCGACGACGACGACGACGGCCTCCGCGCCCGCCGCCGCCCCCCCCCCCCGGCAGGCGGGCGAGACCACGGACAGGGAGGCGCCGGGGCGCAGCCCCCCTCCCGCTCCGCGCCCCGCCCGTGCGCATCGAGCACCTGGGGGGGGAGGCTGGTCCGCGCTTTCCCTCTCCCTCTCTCCCTCCCTCCCTCCCTCCCTCCCTCCTCCTCCTCCTCCTCCTTCTTCTCTCCTCCTCCTCCTCCTCCTCCTCCTCCCCCTCCTCCTCCTCCTCTCCTCCTCCTCCTCCTCCTCTCCTCCTCCTCCCCCTCCTCCTCCTCCTCCTCCTCCTCCTCCTCCTCCTCCTCCTCCTCCTCCTCCTCCTCCTCCTCCTCCTCCTCCTCCCCCTCCTCCTCCCCCTCCTCTCTCCTTCTCCTCCTCCTCCTCCTCCTCCTCCTCCTTCTCCTCCTTCTTCCTCCTCCTCCTTCTCTTCTCTCAGCCTCCTTCTCCTCCTCCTCCTCCTCCTCCTTCTTCTCCTCCTCCCCTTCTCCTTCTCTCAGCTCCTCCCCTCCTCCTCCTCCTCCTCCTCCTCTCTCCTCCTCCTCCTCCTCCTCTTCCTCTGGCCTCTCCGGAGGCAGCGTTCTTCCTCCTAGGGGGGGGGCAGGACTTCTCCGCCCATTCTGCTCTACAGATCGCTCGTGGCTTGCCTCGCTCTTCGTTGTCGGGATAGCCCTCTTCAGGGACAGCGGATTTCATCTTCTCAATTGTTTGTTCTCTGCTCTTATCTTTTCAGATCGTCTTCTTTGCCTTGTCCGTCCTTCGTACCTCCTCCTCCTCCTCCTCCTCCTCCTCCTCCTCTTCATCCACCTTCTCCTCCGCATACCGAAAACCTGGAGGCGAAAACTGGTCCCTGGGAATTGGAGTCGGCTGAATGCCTGAGGTGGTCCAGGAGTCCAGCACTGGCTCTGGCCAGCAAGAGGCGATGGGGAGAGGGGCCCCAGGACCGTCAAGAACGGATACGGGGTGAACACATGCACCCGATGGACCTCCAGGGGGGGTCGATTTTGAGCGGACTTGCCTTCATCCCATCCTCTTGGCCGATTTTCTCGAGGCCCATCCAGCTCAGACCCCATGGCCGCCGCCAAGGGATACCCCATTTCATCGCCGCAGCCGCTTTGGGTCCGGCCATTCTTGAGCCGGGGGTTTGCGGGGGCCCTGGGACAGCAGGCGCGAACGGCGTTTGATTGTGCCCATCTGGATGCCAAACTCGCGACTTCTGCGGAAGAGGAGGCGAGCCTCTGTCTTGTCGTCGCAGCGCGCAAGGACGTGGGCCAGAGCTCTACGAAGCTGGAGGCCAGTTGCGCTGTCAGGACGTTCGTTCCATTCAAGGTGCTTCTGTGGATTCGAACCTGGGAGAGTCCAGTGGATCCTCGGAGTTTCCGAGGATGGTTTCGGTGGCGGTCCTGGAGTGTCCAGGGCACGCAGGGTGCCGTTTCCGCGGCTGGCTCGTGTTGTGAGGTCAGGAGGCTTCCAGGCTGCGGTTCTGGAGTTTTCAGGGGACGCAGGATGCGAGCCGCGAAGTTCCCGCGGCCGGTTGCAATGCAGAGTTTCCCATGTAGTTCCCAGGATCTTCCTTGTTCGTAATTCGCAGCATCCCGAAAGTTGCTGGCCTGCAACGTGAAGTGCGGCAGATGCCGCCGCGCAGGTCGTGTATAGCTGCTGATATATGGTCCGCTCGTCGGCGCGCTTGGCCCTGCCAGCCTACTCACTGTGGGTCGGTGCAGAGGTCTTGGAGCCGCTAGCCGAACTCGCCGTGCCGGCTTGCTTGGCGGGGAACGGCCCGGAGGTCGCCGGGCGGGCTGGCCGTGCTCGGCGCACACCGGCCTGTTGCGTGGGAAGTGGTCCCGGGACGTCCCGAGGTCGCCGCTGGTCGCGGAGCTGCCGGCCGAGCCCGGCGCGCTGGCCAGGTGCGCGCGCGAGGGGCGGTCGGGGAGGCCGCCGCGCGGGGCGTCGAGCTGCAAGCCGAGCTCGTCATGCCGCCCTGCCGCGTGAGGGGCGGCACGGAGGTCGCCGCCGGTCGAGGAGCTTCTGCCGGACCCGGCACGCCGGCCTGCTGCGTCAGGGGCGGCCGGGAGGTTGCCGCGCGAGCCGCGGAGCGGCTGGGCGAGCTCGCCGACCTGGCCTGCGGCGTGAGAAGCGCGGCCCAGTCAGATCGCCCCGCTGGCCGTGGAGCCGCGGGCGGACCTAGCCTGCAGCTTGCTGCGCGGGCCTGCTGAGGACATGCCTCCTCGTCCTCCTCCTCCTCCTCCTCCTCCTCCTCCTCCTCCTCCTCCTCCTCCTCCTCCTCCCTCCTCCTCCTCCTCCTCCTCCTCCTCCTCCTCCTCCTCCTCCTCCTCCTCCTCCTCCTCCTCCTCCTCCTGCTCTGAAACGTGCAGAGCGGCCCAGGAGTCGCCGCGTGGGCCGCGGAGCGGCTGGCCGGGGTGTCGCCCGCGCGAGCCGTGGAGCGAAGCTGGCCGCGCTCCTCGTGCCGGCCTGCTGCCGCGGTGAGCGACGGCCCGGAAGCGGAGGTCGCCGCGCAGGCCGCGGAGCTCTTGGCCGAGCTCGGCGTGCTTGCCTGGCTGCGCAGGCCGCCCGGTTGCTGGCTGACGCCTCCGCGCCGGCCTGCGGCGTGAGAGGCGGCCTGGAGGTCGCCGCGCGCACGCCGTGGAGCTGCTGGTCGAGTTCGGCGCGCTGGCCTGCTTGGTGAGACATGGCGCGGAAGTCGCAGCCTGGGCCGTGGAGAGGATGGCCGAGTTCGCCGTGCCAGCATGTTGCGTGAAGGGCGGCGCCACACGGGCCCCGGAGCCGTGGGCCGAGCTCGGTGTGCTGAGCTCCTGCGCGAGCGACGGCCGGAAAGTCCCCGCGCGGCCGCCGTGCCTGCCTGCGCGCTAAAGGGCGGCCCGGAGGTCGCCGCGCGGGCTGTGGAACTGCTGGTCGAGTTCGGCGTGCCGGCCTGCTGCGTAGGGCGTTCTGTTGGCCTCTTGGGAGCCTCGGGTGTCTTGGGGGCCTCTCAGGGGCCCCCCTGGAGCCTTCTTGAGGCCCTCTTGGGGCTTTCTTGGGGCCGCGGAGGCCTTCTTGGGACCATCTTGGAGGACATCGATCAAAGAAGTGGAGGCCCTTAATCAGCGTTCCGCCCCCCCTCTGGAACCCCAAAAGTTGTTTCTTGGCGCCCAAATGGGGGCGCTCTTGGGGCGCTCTTGGGGCCCTTGTCCCGACACTCCTGTTTCTTACTTGGGGGCCTGGGATCATACGCTCATCAGAGTGAACAATCATTCATTGTCCCTGGGTGCGTGGCTGAAGTGGGGATCCCTAGTGAGGATTCTGCTTGTTGCGTTGTTGCTGTTGTTGTTGAACATTATTAATTCTAAAGAATAATTATTGTTGGGCCCCCTGGTGCGCGCCCCCCCCGCCGCGCCTAGGCCGCAGCCACGTTTTCATCATTTTCGTGAGGAAGCCTCAGGTAATTCGAGGTGATCAAGATCCGGTTGTTTTGTTGTAATCCGCTTTCCCTTGCAAAAAACACTATAAAATGACATTTCTTGTTCTAATATAATCAAATTTCAAGAATCCCTTGCAAAAAAACAAGGTAAAGTGGACATTCGCGCGCGCAAGACGAAATCCTTCCAAAAGCTTAGTGTTCGGAGCGATTTTAACATAAAAACATCAAAAAACCAATGGTTTTTCAACAAAAAAATGTCAAAATCTCATCCCGCGCGCTCTTGCGGATTCGTAGGAAACCCAACACTTTTTAAACATTTCTGTCAAACGGGCTTTTGCGAGCAACTTTTTCGAACTTCTGCGACAACGGTTGCGCACCTGCCAGGGCCATCATCCCTGTCAAATAATACCATGCGGGACACATTCGTTTTTCACAATGCACAATTGCACATGCTGGGCACATGCGCGCCCCGAATAAGTGACCAAGTTCTGTGGGTGTGTACCCCACGCCAGTGTAGTAGCCACGGTCGTCCGCACGCCACGAAGTGAAGTGTCCCAACGTCATAGGGCGGGAAGCTGGGTTTGGGTGGTCGCGAAGAGTCGTTTGGATATTTGGTAGAGCTTGTAATGCCCCCCCACGAAGTGGGGGTATTGCCTGGTGTCGTATGAAAACCCTGGCACTGGGGAGAACACCACGCGTTCGGGTAAAATGATTGTTGTTGTTGTTGTTGTTGAACATTATTTATTCTAAAGAATAATTATTGTTGGGGCCCCTGGTGCGCGGCCCCCTCGCCGCGCCTAGGCCGCAGCCACATTTTCATCATTTTCGTGAGGAAGTCTCAGGCAAAACGTGGGTGTCCGGATCCGGTTGTTTTGTTTCCCCCCGTTTTCCCTTGCAAAAAATAAGCTAAAGTGGACATTTCTTGTTCTAACATAACCAAACTTCAAGAATCCCTTGCAAAAATAAGGTAAAGTGGACATTCGCGCGCGCAAGACGAAATCCTTCCAAAACCTTAGTGTTCGTAGCGATTTCAACATAAAAACATCAAAAAACCAATGGTTTTTCAAAAAAAAAGTGTCAAAATTTCATCCCGCGCGCTCTTGCGGATTTGTCGGAAACCCAACACTTTTTAAACATTTCTGTCAAATGGGCTTTTCCGAGCAACTTGTTCACGTGCTTCGAACTTCTCCAACAACCGTTGCGCACCTGCCAGGGTCATCATCCCTGTCAAATAATACCATGCGGGACACATTCGTTTTTTTTTGCGCGCGCACGCCGAAATCTTCAAAAACCATTGGGTTTCGTAGGAATTTTAGCACCGCGCAACATAAAATCATACGAATCGCACCGTGGGACCTCGAAAAACATCTGTACGAATTTTCAACAGGGGGAACAGTCGTATACTAAGCTAGCGTCCAGAAAATGTTACCACAACAAGTCACTGTACCCATGCGCCAGTGTAGTAGCCACGGTCGTCCGCAGGCCACGAAGTGAAGTGTCCGAACGTCATAGGGCGGGAAGCTGGGTGTGGGTGGTGGCGAAGAGTCGTTTGGAAATTTGGTAGAGCTTGAACCGGCCCCCCCACAAAGTGGGGGTATTGCCCGCCTCCTATGAAAACCCTGGCACTGGTGAGAACGGAGTGTCCCCACGTGCTAGTAATTGTTGTTGTTGTTGTTGTTGTTGTTGTTGTTGTTGTTGTTGTTGTTGTTGTTGTTGTTGTTGTTGTTGTCTGTTGTTGTTGTTGTTTCTTTGTTGTCGTCGTTCCACCCGCGCCCCGCGACCCACCCGCGACCCAACCCGCGACCCACTCCGCGACCCACCCGCGACCCACCCGCGACCCACCCGCGACCCACCCCGCGACCCACCCCGCGACCCACCCCGCGACCCACCCCGCGACCCACCCCGCGACCCACCCCGCGACCCACCCCGCGACCCACCCGCGACCCACCCGCGCACCCCCCGACCCACCCCGCGATCCACCCGCGACCCACCCGCGACCCACCCGCGACCCACCCCGCGACCCACCTGCGACCCAGCCGCGACGCTTTTGCGACGCTCCCGCGTCCTACCCAGAATGTTTTAACGAAAAAATCGGGGCCTGCGGCGGGCTCTTTGCATAATGTGTAAAACTTTGGCGCCTGCGGCGAGCTTCTCCAGAGTCTTGCAGGCTGCCGACGTCCCCACCGCCCCCTCACTCTTATCCGCATCTGCGGGGTCTACGTAAGCTATTCCGCCAAAGCTCCTAGTGACGAGTTTGGTCTCTGATGCCTTCCTTTTGATGGGTAGGCAGGCCGTCAGGGGAGATTGTTCGGCATGATGTGCTGCACCCGGGACCGCCACGTGGTTGTGAACAGTGCGTAATAAGCCACGAGTGTATGCGTTTTCTCCGCATTCCTTCTGGGCAGTGCCGTGGTCGTGAACGCAGATAACCCAGTCCAGTCCCAGCCACGCGTGAAAACCACGGGCGGTGTCTCACGAATACTTCCCGGGGCCGCCACCCCACGACGGGGCAGCCACTTTAACGAGTGCCGAGTTTGTTGTTGGCAAGCTGGTACTCGCTTCACCTCGTGCGCCCACCGTGTCAGCATGTTTCTGCGTCTTCCTGCCAGCGCTTGGCGGACCTCGACCTTGCGCCGCATCTGCGCCTGTTATGTGGCGGATGGGTTGGCAAGTCTCTGTCCGCCCATCTGCCGTCCTCAACCGCTTAGAGCTATCGATTCGACTGCCCTCTGCTGGCTCGTCCGCGCTCCCCTCATCCTCCTCCGTTTCCTCGACCATCCTTTCCCATTCCTTCTCCTTATAAATACCTCTGCGTTTCGCACCGCCAGACGGGTCCTTACGTAGGCTGGGCCAGGTGTTTCGCCCAAGTCTCCTTTACAGCCGTTACACCGAAGCGAAACAAATCCAACAGCTTCAAGGCTGGTCTTTTGTTTTTCGACATGCGGCGTTCGTTTCCAGCGCAGCGCGCGTTCTTTGAAGTACCGAAGCATCTACAATGACGGAGCGTCGATTGCTTTCAACATGTTGCCCTCGCGTTCGCGCCGCGCACGTTCGTCGCACACAGATGCAAGAGCTTCAATGATGGAAGCCGTTTCGTTGCCAAAGTGTGGGTCTCGCCTTAACGCCGCCCGTATTCGCATCACCAGCTTGCAGCAGTCAGAAGGTTGCAGGGCGGTCCCTTTTTTAAAAGAGGATCTCCCCTGGGGCGTCCTCAACAAAGACACCCGACGTTCGGGAAGGCACAACAGCTGCACGGATGGATGACGGATCCTGTTCAAGATGTTGAGCCCGATTGCCAATGCGTCGAGATTGCTGGCCAGAGGTGTCATCTTGTGCAGCAGTCATACGGATAGCTCGCACCCTCCTCATCTCAAAGTTATGACCATACCATTTCTGACTGTATGGCTGGACTGGACAGACCAGATACTCCAGATCTCGTAATAAAAGGGAGGGGGTCTGGACCCTCCAAGACAAGCCATTTCAGACCCCCCCCGTGGGAGAACCCTCCAAAACATCGTCCCCAGACCCCCCCAGGCCCTCCAAGATAGCCTGGAAGAGACCCCCCCCCGAAATGAGACCCCCCGAAATGAGACCCCCCCTGGAGTAACTTTATGGCCATACCATGTCGCAGTGTGCTTGGAGGATGCACGGCAGCTGCACCTTTTATAACACGGGGTCCTCGCTTGAACGGCAGGCCCATGATTCGGGGGCAAACAAACCTGCCTCGCTTTTGACCACCCTCGCTTCCAAGAGATACCAGACGATGCCAAATTGCGCCCTGTACTGGTCAGGCCGCTTGACGAGGCGGCGCGTGGTATGGCTTGGTTTTGCCTGGAAGCGAAAGCGGGGGAGGTAACTCACGCTCTGAATAATAGTTGTTTCAAGTGGGTTCTTGTGGTGGAAGGGAAGGTGCGCAAGGACTTGCTGGGCTGGAACCTGAGACGGTCGTGCTTATCGCGGCATCGCTGATGCAGCTTGTCACCACCCACCAAACCACCCCAACCCAACCCGAAGGCTCAAATTCACCCTCGATTTCCAGTGGGGGGGGGTCGGGAAACATCGAAAAAGCATATGTGGAACCCTTACCCCCCCCAACCCGAAATTCGGGTCTTCGGGTCGGGTTGGGGTGGTCTGGTAGGTAGTCAGCCTGGAGTTGTTCTCGTTCCTTTTCTCCTCTGCGAGCCCCCCTCCTCCGCCTCCTCCTGCTCATGCTGCTCCTCCGCCCGCTCCCCCCGAACGCAGGGTGAGGCAGGGGGGGAGGGGGAGGAGGAGGAGGAGGAGGAAGAGGAGGAGGAGGAGGAGGAGGAGGAGGAGGAGGAGGAGGAGGAGGAGGAGGAGAAGGAGGAGGAGGAGGACGAGGGGGAGGAGGAGGAAGAGGGGGAGGAGGAGGAAGAGGGTCCTCGCCCGCCTCCTCGATGCGAGCCCCCACGCACCCTGCTTTCGACAACTCCCCGGCAGGTGCTCGTGCTGCTTGGCACGGCACCCGTGCACGCGGCCACCCTGAACTCCCTGAAGAGTGTTCCTGATGTGGCCGAGGCGGGCTCACAGGTGTGTCAGCACATGGGAAGGGCGGCAGACAAGACGTGGGATGACACCTCGACGAGCAGATTAGAAGATGGGGTGACGGGACGAGGAAGAGGAGGACGAGGAGGAAGAGGAGCAGGAGGAGGATTGAGAGGATGTGCAGGATGATTCGGAGGAGCAGGGCGAGCGTGCGGAAGTGAAGGAGCAGGATGAGGGGGTGGAATGGGGACACGGACACTGAAGAACAGGGACGGTAGAGCGAGGATGTCGGCATATATGGGTCGCCTGCCTCCGAAGTTGGCATCTGCGTTCTTTTTGAGCTGACGGGCGAGAGACTGCAGGCAGGTCCAGGTCGCGTAAGGACTGGAAAGGGAGACCGCTGCGCCGGCCGCAGGATCGAATCCACTTTACGGGCATGAGCACTTCGCTTCTGAACGAGCTCGACGGGGGCGTCTGCAACGGTGCCTCGTTACTGCTTTCCTGCTCTAAGATTCTCTTGTCGTCTACACGTCTGTCTTTGTGCTGACCCCATGGTGTGGCGCTTTGCCCCTCGTGCCTTGCACGCCGGTCTGCAGATCATGTGCCCGTGGCGGCGGAAGTCGCGCGTGTGTGTGTTGGCATGATCGTGCGCGCCATGCATGCCAGCGCACCTTCCCGCGCATGGGCTAATCGTCCTGCTGTCCTTGAGTGTGTTCCTGGCAGCCTTCGCTCGGTCTCCCCTGGCACCAACGACGGGAACGAGGGAATGGGGGGGCAGAGAATGTGAGAAGGGGGCGTGACATGAACGGGGGCTGATGAAAGGCGACAGAAGCGGGGTCCGGCGAGAGAGCCAGGGAGGGGGAGGTGGATGTGGGAGAGCTGGCCCATCCAGGTGAGGAAGGGAGCAGTGGACGGCGGCGTGAGCTAGATCTGCAGAGCAGGGGAAGGCAGGGGGACGGCGCGGGCACGATGTGCGGAATGCGTCGTCAGGTTGTGTGGTACACCCTGATCGCTGGTATTACACAGCTCCACGATGTTACTCGCAGCTGCGACACGCACGCGTATCAGACGAGGTCCCCGGAGCAGCACAGGCGTACAGCATGTGGGCGCTGGCCGGAGTGCAAGTCCGATTGCCACTACGTCGGGGATGGTGTGGTCGGCGCCTGGGCCCCAATTTTTTTGTTTGTGTTTCCCGTGCTCGCGTCTGCGAGACACGCGGCTGTCGAGCATCAGTGCCCGCGCGCATGTGATGGGCACGGCGTGTTCGTGCACGCGCCCATGGAACTGACAGACGCGCTTCGATCAACTACCCGTGTTTTTGCTGCAGCCATTGCCCAAAGCGCAAAGGCAAATTGGGCATCGCGGCCACACTTCTGGCAGCGTGAACGTGAGGGCAGTCCAAATGACTCGGTGAGTAGTGATTCGCCAGTCTGATTCGTCGCACAGGCGCTCTGAGGCCTTGGTCCAGTGGGGCGGGTCTGTCGGGGGCCAGATTTCATGGCCCCCTCGTCGTCTTCTTCGTCGTCGTCTTCCTCGTCTTCTTCTTCTTCCTCGTCTTCTTTTTCTTCTTCTTCTTCTTCTTGAAAATGCGTCCCCTGGGCCCACCCTCCGCTTCTCCCCCCGCCCTTTCGCCCTCCGCGTTCTCGCTCCCCGGCCTCTTCAGGCCGAGCGCTCGGCGCCGAAGAGCGCGCGCCCGCGCCCGCTCCCACGCGGGGCCGCGCCCCGGCGCGCCGGGAAACGGCGCCCGTGCCCCCCCGTGCGCCCGCCTCGGCGCACAGCGCCCGCCTCGAGCCGTGGCGCGGGCTGTGTATAGCCCCCCCCTCCTCCTCCTCCTCCTCCTCCTCCTCCTCTCCTCCTCCTCCTCCTCCTCCTCTCCTCCTCCTCCTCCTCCTCCCTCCTCCTCCTCCTCCTCCTCTCCTCCTCCTCCTCCCCTCCTCCTCCTCTCCTCCTCCTCCTCCTCCTCCTCCTCCTCCTCCTCCTCCTCCTCCTCCTCCTCCTCCCTCCTCTCCTCCTCCTCCTCCTCCTCCTCCTCCTCTCCTCCTCCTCCTCCTCCTCCTCCTCCTCCTCCTCCTCCTCCCCCCCTCGTGGGGCCGCCCGCGCGCTGCCGCCCCGCACACAAAGGCACGACCTGCGAGCAGGTCGCGTCACGGCGCCGAGGCAGCGCCGATGCGTCGCCGAGGCGGCTCGGCGTCGAGCCCGATCTCCTCCGCGCGGGCGTCGCCGATGCGTCGCCGATGCGGCGAGGTCCTCCGACCCCGTCTGCTCTGACCCTCAGCTGGGAGGCCTCTTCAAGACGCCCGCGGCCCTGATCAGGGAGGCTCTCCGCCTGCCGCCGGCCCTGCAGGTGCAAGGGGCGGCCGCGCCGGCGGCGGCGCCGGCACCCGCCGACGGGGCGGCCCGTGGGCGCCCAGAGAGCGTTGGTACCCACTTCCAAGCCTTCAGTTAACTGAACGCCCGAAATTCACCACCCACCAAACCACCCCAACCCAACCCGAAGGCTCAGATTTACCCTCGATTTCCAGTGGGGGGGGTCGGGGAACATCGAAAAAACACACGTGGAACCCTTACCCCCCCAACCCGAAATTCGGGTCTTCGCCAACCCGAAATTCGGGTCTTCGGGTTGGGTTGGGGTGGTCTGGTAGATAGTCAGAAATGGGTACGGAAAGAATGGGTACGATGCCCAACAGCAGTTCCTGTTCCTTTTGATCAGGACTCGCTGTCCGCGCCGCCGCGGCCTGTGTCCATTCGAGACAGAAGGCCGCCCGCCCAACAGCGGCCGCTGCTGGTTTAGGACAACACTTGTTGTTGGGCATTGAACTCATTTTTTCCGCACCCATTTCGGGCGTCCAAAAATTAAAGTGGAGTGGCCCCTCTGGCTTCACCGTTCCCTCTGGACCTCGCTGCTGGCTGCGACCCCCCGGGCGCGGCGGTGGCTCGGTGGTCTGGGGGCTCGGGGGCCGCCCCCCCCCCACGAGGCATGACCTACGAGCAGATCCAGAGAGAGCACCCCGACATCTGGGAGGCACGGGAGAAGGACCCGGACGTCGAGCGCCCCGCCACGCACCCGCTCGACGGGAGAGGTCGATGTCTGCGGGAAGAAGGGGGCACCGTCGAATCGAATCTAACGTCATCCACCCTCTCCTCCTCTTCCTCACACCTTTCCTGCCGCTGCTCCTCCTCCTTACTCAACAGTAACACATCATGAATCCAACCCTCATCTCTCCCCGGATTCCGTCCGGAAGATATTCGGCCCTCTCCGCGTATAGTTCTTCTACACTAGATTTGATATGTTGTTGTAACTTTGTTTTGCAATCCGTTCGTTTTCGGTGTTTCAACGGTCTACTACCGCTGTAGCGCGGGCCTCATTTTCGAATCGGCGTTTTGCTCCCGTCGTTTAGAATGGCGCTCTCGCCCCAGCTCTGGCCATTTATCTGGGTCGGAATCCTTCTTCATCGTTGTCGCCCCCCTCATTTTCCCTCCTCAGCCTTTCCCTGCTCCTCCTGGTCCTCCTGCTCCTCCCGCTCCTTCCGCTCCAGTTCCTGCTGCTATTGGTCGTCACCTCCTCCTCCAATGTCCGCAGCTCCCATTCGATGGCGCAAAACACGATGGATTTCAAGGTCCGCTATGACACGCGTCGGCAGATAGAGCAAACAAAACGCGATGGGAAGAGATGGGTGTAAGGGTTCGGATGTCAGATCTGGCGCGAGCACATCCAGCTTGATGGACTCTCGGATGCGATGGTCACGGCTGACGAGAGCAGTTCGACCTGGATATCGGCAGGGCATGCACACGAAGGAGGGGGTCATCCTATTTGAGTCGGCTTGGCGCATGATCCACTATGCGGTCATGCAGACGGGGCGCCACTTCGCCGTGCTGGTTAGCGCGCGCGGCCACCGTGGATGCCCACGCTGAGCACCTCGAGAGGCAGGCGGCCAAGCGCCGCACCATCAGCTTCCACAGGTGGGCTCAGGACGCCATGATCACGGGGGGCATCGCCAGTCTTCGCCATGACTCGGCTGAAGGGCTGGGCACACAACGAAGTGGGCAGATTTGGCATACGCACGGCACTTCCTCAGGTGGTGGCTGACACTCAAATGGACTTCTGGAACGACATCTGGAAGGGCACCGTGATCTCGCAGAAGCCATATCAGGATACTGTCATCAAGGCTGTCCATGATGACCTCGACAGGGGGCAGCGCCCCCAGCGGATGGCCACTGACCATGAGTATGATGCAGAGCACCTCATCGACATGGACGGCGAGGTACCAGAGCTCATTCGCAGCCTCCCGCGGGGCGCCCTCCCCGTGCCGAGGATTGACGAAATGCGAGCGGCCTCCAGGACTTTCGCTTGGAACACAGGCCTGGGCGTAGACGCTATGCCCCCTCGTGCCTACTCCATCCTGTCCGACGATGCGCTGGCAATGCTGATTTACATTCTATGAGCATCGGAGTCATGGGGGAGATGGCCATCGTCCATCATGGCCGTGCACGTGATGCTCCTCACGAAGGCGCAGGGTGGCTTCCGCCCGATCGCCCTCCTTCCCTCCATCTACAGGGTCTCCACCAAGGTGCGCATAGGCCACGTCCGCAGATGGATGGCGGCCCACGACAGGCCATATTTTGCATTAGGGGCGGGGGGATCAACAATTGACGTGGGAGCTCGCGCCATGGTCTACGCCGAGGCGGCGGACACGACAGAGGGCGAGGCCGTCACCACCACGCTGGTGGACATCAACAAATGCGTCGACCGGCTCCAGTGGATCAAGATCATCAGAGCGGCACAGTACCACGGCTTCCCCATGGATGCCCTCAGGGCGGTGCTCTCCATGTATGTGGCGATCATGAGGATCCGCTGGGGGGCGACCTACTCCTACTCGGTCCGCACCACGGCTGGTGCCCTACCTGGTTGCACGATCGCGATGTATCTCCCCCAGCTGGCCATGATGACGCCGTCCGACATTTGCCGCGCCTCCCTGAGCAGGCCCAGGATCAAGTTGGGCATCTACGCGGACGACATTACGCTGCATATAATGTCCCGTTCAGCTGAGATGGTAGAGCTGGCGACTGGAGTCATCGCGAGGCTGGCCGCAGTACTTGAGGCGTTGGGCCCCCCGGCCGCCAGGGACAGAGCCAAGATCCTGAGCTCCTTGCAGTGGCTGGCCGAGCAAGTGGCGCGACGACTCCGCGTTTTCGGCTTCGAGGCGATGCGGCAGCTCACCGTCTTGGGACTGGAATGTCGCGCGGGCGCTCGCCCCGCCTACTCGGCGATCGACGAGAGGGTGCGCAAGGTCAAGGAGCGCTTCCCCAGGTTTCGGAGACTCCGAGGACTGCCGAGGATCGCCAGACGAGTGGCGCGACCCGCACTGGCGCTTGGCATGGCGCACGGCACACAAGTGGTCGGAGCCCCGCCATCCACGCTGGCCACGACGACGAACTTAGTGCGCACAGGCTGGGCCAAGACCCCGACGGCATCGTCGACATGGCTGGCGTCGCTGCTTGAGGAGGCCCCGAACCTGGTGCCCGAGAGCATGGTCATGGCGGAGCCGCTCTACACGTGGGCCCAGATGGCATGCGATTGCCAGGTGCCGTTCAACATCCTAGAGGAGGCTTGGGACCTGCAGGCCAGAGCGATCTCAAGCACCAGCACGTGGGACCTGCAGGCCAGAGCGATCTCAAGCATCAGCGATCTCTGGCCCAGCAGGCGCAGTACAGCTGCTTCTCCGACGACTGGGATGGCGTGCCCACTCGGCGAGGAGCTGGGCGACAGGAAACGGCGTGACGATGGATCTGATGGACACCTCATCGGGCTGGATGACTGTCATGGCACGACGCAGTTACCGCGGCATGAAATTGGAAGAATGGTCCACTCGCCGAGCACATGCACCAGAGCTACCTCCTCCACCTAGGGATCCGCGTGGCTACTGGATTGGGCCCATCGCGGCCATGGTCCATGCAGATCCAGATGCCTCCAAGTGGGACCTGAGCATGCGAGCCCGAGGGGCATTGAGGTCGACTGTCATTGGGGCTCAATGGGCCCAGCAGAGGCTCTACTCGGTTGGCTACGTGAAGGACCCCAGCTGCTGCTACTGCAAGGACTGCTGCGGACATCTACATCATCGACTGTGGTCCTGTCCGAACCTGCAGGACATGCGCGCGGAAACTCTGGATGATGATATCGGGGGGCGCGCATTGCAGGCAGCTTCCAACGGCTCATTCTACACGAGGGCTCCTGCCGCGGGCGGCCCTCCCTATGCTGCCGACGTGGGTGGACACCCAGGCTTGGTACTGCTGCATGGGCGGCAGGGACGCGACCATCACGGGGGAGATCTTCACCGATGGATCGGCCAAGTGTCCACTTCACTGGCCAGAAGCGAATCGAGCGGGCTGGGGCATCGCTGCGATGAATGGGCATCGGGCACTTGGCATGGCACGCGGGCCGCTGCGTGGCCCCCAGCTGGCGGCGCAGCGAGGCGAGCTGTGCGCGATCATCCAAGCGCTGAAGCATGGCCAGACCCCCATGAAGATCAAGACGGACTGCTTGGGCATTGTGGAGGGTCTCGAGCAGGGGGAGAGGCGCGCCGCGCACCCGCGCAGGGAGAACGTGGACCTGCTGCGCAAGCTGTGGCGCGCGCTGGAGGACCATGGCGGCCTAAGCACAGACCTCAGCATCACATGGGTCAAGGGCCACCAGACAGGCTCGGAGTCGGGCGAATCGCCCGACAAGTTCGGCAACGACTACGCGGACATGGCGGCGGAGAAGGGCCTGCCGATCCGCGGGGTGCCCACGGCCGTCTACGAGCGCCACGCCGAGCTCCTGGAGGAGTTGCGCCAGGCGGCGGCCTGGATCGGCAACGGCCAGGCCAACCTGGAGGCGAGGCCAGCGGACAAGGTGGCTTCCCTGGGGCGCCGCGGCCGCGCTGCCAGCCGCCGCGGCGCGGGCGCAGCTCTTGACGGCGGCGGCACAGCCGCGCGTCTGATCAAGCCTCGAGAGGAGGCCAACGTGAGGGGAAAACGCGTCCTTGTTCGTGGACAGCACGGCTGGCGATGTGCCCACTGCCCCGCTCGGCTCGCTTCCTGGCGGGTCTGGAGCGGCTCCGTCGGGGCCGCTGCCAGACCCGACCCGACCTGGCCCGTGGCTCTTGGGGGCCCGAGGTCCTGGGGCCGAGGAAGCGTCCGGGGGGCAGGGACCTGGATACCGAGAGGGCCACCAGGTCTCGTGGCCTGGAGCGATCGGCTCTGGGGGGCCCCAGCGAGCTGCCCAGGCCTGACCCGAGGGCGATTCGAAATTGGCAAGGCGACGAAATGCAGGGAGCGGGAAGAGCGTCGTGTCGTCGTCTGGAGGACGACGGGGGGCAGGATGAGCAGCTGCAGAAGAAGGAGTTTGGGCCTCGCAGGGTTACGCCTCGGGTCACCCGTCCTCCTTCGCCTCCGTCCTCGTCGTGCGACCTCCCTTCCTCGACATCCTCCTGTCCTGGGGCTGTAGTGGCGCGTCCTCCGGCCGACCCCCCACCAAGCCCCACTGGTCCTGCTGGAGTCGACCCCCGTTTCGCTCCTGCTGCCCCTCCTGCTTCTCCGCCCCCCTCCGCCGTGCTTCGAGCAGCGAAAGAGGGTGCGCTTTCCGGAGGCCTCGAGAGCTCCCGCGGACCCTCAGGAGGCCCTCGCGGGTGCGGTTTCAGTGACGACGGCGCGAGGCGTGAAGCGGGCCGCGAGAGGCACTCCGCCATCGCTGGCGGACGCGGACCTTCCCATGCAGCCCCTGCCGAGGACGGGGGAGGTCCCGCCCTATTCGGCGAGAGGGTATGTTTTTTATATTAAAAGATCTGGGGACGTTGTGGGATGTAGTAAGCGTGGTGCTTTCTCGGCTAAGTCGGCACGCGCGCAGCTCTTCTGGACTTGTGATCCCGAGGCTGCCCTTGAGGGGAATCCCCAGCGCAAGTGGAGGAGGGATAATTTTATGAAGGGCGTCCACCCTAAGGGAGGCCATTCCCCCCCTCCTTCCCTTGCAGGCTGTTGGTCACGGACGATGCTGTCCAGTGGCTATGCTTGTTATCCATATAATCCATATGTCTCGAGCTTTCGTTCGAAACTTGTTTCGTGTCCTGGGAGTTCGGTTTGGCCGATTCTGGGCTTTTTTCGTGGGACCTCCTGTCAATGCCGTGTTGCTTCGGCTCGGCTTACAATGCCCTGGGGCCCGCTGGTTTTCTGTGCTCGATTGCGCTCGCTCGTCTTTTCCCCCCGCTCCTGCCCTCCCCGAATCGTACTCGGCGCGTCGTCCTATGGGCTCGCTCGCTCCTCCTCCTCCTCCTCCTCCTCCTCGTCCTCGGCCTCGTCCTCCTCCTCCTCGTTTTCCTCCTCCTCCTCCTCCTCCTCTTCGTCGTCCTCCTCCTCGTCGTCCTCCTCCTCCTCTTCGTCCTCCTCCTCCTCCTCCTCCTCCTCCTCCTCCTCTCTTCGTCCTCCTCCTCCTCGTCCTCCTCCTCTTCGTCCTCCTCCTCCTCCTCCTCCTCCTCCTCGTCCTCCTCCTTCCCCTCTCCAACTTCTGGCGGTGGTGGTGGAAAACAGGCCCACCGCTCGTCAGCCGCCCCACCCGCGCGCGCGTGGCCCCCCCCCTTCCCGCTGCCGCCCCCGAGCACGGCAGGCTCCCGGCAGGGCTGGACCCAAGCGGCGTCGGGGCGATACGCCCACGCCCGCTTCAACCTACAGGCCTCGGAAAAAATTAGCGAACACTCATGCCACATTCATCTGTGAACGCCTCCCCCTTCCCCCAATGTTCAAAGTTGGCGGTGGGTCTGATGAGTTTCACCTCGACCGCAGTCTCTCCCCCGCGTGCCAACTTTGAGTTTGGGGGGCAGGGGGGGTGTTCACTAATTGTTTCCCTCTACCCTATGGGATCTGGAATGCTTCCCGACTCCAGCGTCACGTGTTCTGCCCGCCCTGGTCGTTTTTTCCGACTCCTGCTCACACCTTTCCGGCTCCGGTTCCCGTCCGTTCTCTCCGACTCCGGCTCCGGCTCCGGCTCCTGCCCCCAACACGTCGCCTGAGGGCTCTGGCCCCCCTGCGCCGCCCTATGAGGGCCGGCCCCGCTGGACCGAACTCGCGCGCTCGCCTCGCCTTGCCTCGTGGGCCGTTTTCGTGTCGACTTCGTTTTGCGGTAGGGGTGGACTGGAGACAAGACGAGGGAAAACGATAAACGAAAACGAGCACGAGAAACATCGTTCAGGTTCAGCCTTGGTTCCTAGACGTGCTCTCGAGTCCCGCGTTGCAGGCGCAGCGCGCTCGAAGGAAGCAGGTCGATCATAGAGTCGGCATGATGGAGGCTTGATGGGAAGATGTTGTAAAGCGGCCGCCCTTGGCGGTTCTTAGGCATTCGCGGGTCTGGCGAATAGAATGCCCGCCCGCCTCCTCGCGAACGAGGAGGGTTTACACACACTTGGGTATGGTGGATCTTGATGTCGCCGAACTACCGGCTCATTTTCCCTCGCCCTTGACCTTGCTTGCCCTATGACCTGAAAAACTATGTATGTGGAGGTACGTTTACACCTTGGTATAGGGGGGTTTTCGTTGGCCCGCGCCCCATATGCCAATCTCTGGCCCCCTCCGGCTGGCACTCAGCATCCTGCCCAGCCTAACCATCAGATCGGCCGCCCCTTGGACTCGGGAGGGTCCACGGCACACGAGCTCTCGATACTTCCGCTCTGGCGGGGCGGTTCCCTCTTCGAATGCCGTGGCTCCTCCTTCTCGCCATCGAATGGGTCATGGCGCCAACATCGCAGGGCGGATTCCGTTCGGAGGACGACAGGGTGGGCCCGGGGTGTCCTGGAGAATTTCGTTCCGGATTTCGAGGTGAAATTCGTGCGGATTTTTTGCCGGCCAGGAATGAAGACCAAAAATAACCCACGCGAAATTCACTGCCTTTTTCGCTCGCCGCTCCGGGCAAAAATTCACGCAGAACGCCAGGTAGAAATCCGCTGCAGCACGTCTGCAATGCCGGTGCAACGAGAAGGGGGTGCGAGCGTCGGTCGACTAGACGTCATTTAGAGTGACCTTTCGCCGGAAAGACCTCTGGTGCGGGCCCCAAGGGGGCCCCCCGATCGCCGAGCGCGATGCGGTACAGTAGCGTCCGGCGCGCCCGTGTCTGGCACCCCCGGCGGCGCCCCAGAAGCCGCGCACCGAGGGCCACTCTTGTGCCCAGGGCCGCTCCTGCGTGCAGCCGAGTGTCAGGAGGGGAAAAGACACAGGGAAAAAACACACAGACACAATGAATCGTCGATCCCAACGAAAAGATGGGAAAATAGGGGAATTGGGCGGGAAGACAAAAAAAATGGGAAAGTATGGGGCACCTTTTCATTTGTGTGTGTGTATTCATTTGTGTGCCCTTGGGCCCCTTGAGGAGGGGGCGGCTCCGCCCAGAGGACAAGCTGAACTTCCGCTACCCCGGCGCCGGCGGCGAGTCCTACGCGGAGCGGCCCCGCCCAGGGGGGGCTCGGCCGCTGAGAGGCTCGCGGGGGGCGGCGTGCGGAGGGACGGCCCTCCGAGCGGGCGGGGGTCGCGGGGGTCCTCCTCCTCCTCCTCCTCCTCCTCCTCCTCCTCTCCTCCTCCTCCTC